TGGTAAGTTATATTCTCCTGTAGATAGAAGAGAGATGGGGATAATGAATGGGAGGGATCTATTTATCTCATGTTTCGCGCACACACACTCCCCCCTCCAGGATACAAGCACAGAATTTGTTCATCTATGTTGACCAAGCACACACACACAAAGATACAGACCCAACCTCGTGATACTGCACAAGAGCTTTCGATGCCAAAATGAATCCGTCATGCACACGCTCTCTTTCGCACACACACGCACACACACGCATACAGGCACACATACACACCTCGGTATGTCGATCTGTTTGATAGGAGGTGGGAATAGTTTCACCAAGAAACGCATCACCAAAATTTATGCAGCTTAGACTCGTGTAACTAAGACAAAAACCAGTACCACTGCCAGCACCAAACTGCTGTGCAAGCGTAATCGATAAGAGGGAGCACCTCACGCGTGACTGCTACACCCATATCGGTTCAGTTGTTCGACGTTCAATTTCCGACGTCTGGTTCTACCCTAATTCAACCCAACCACCCGCACACACACACTCCTACCAACATCCGGTACCGCATCAATTCCAACAACAGCAGCAGCAGCATCCTCATCATCAGATGATCAGAATCATCGCGGCCGAGACTAGCCAAATTAGCCCGTGTCTGTGCAACATTTTTCGCCCAGTTCGAATCGGCGAAAACGGTTGTATGAACGATTTAGGTGGCTTTGACGATGTCACCGTGTCTACTCGACCCCGGGGTCCCGACCGCCACGTATTCGTCGATGAGTGCGTGCACGCATGTACACACACACAAACACACGGACGCTCGCGGTTTACGTGCGTCAGTGCGTCCGTACGTGCTTGTACTGGCTAAAGCTTTGGACCAATCAGATTCCGGGCAGAATAAACCAATCATAGTGAGGGTAACTGGCCGAACTGTGCGTACGTTCGCGTACATCCAACCAGCCCGAACGCTTGCCCTCACGTTTCACACCTGCACACACAGACAGAATCATGCCCGGATGGGATATGCTAAGCGTGCGGCCATATGTAGGTACGTGCCGTGGGTTCAAGGACTGACTACTTGGCCGGCATACACACACACGCACATACACACAGGCAAACACACACATGCGCACATTTTGCACCGAGCAACTTAATGCCCGACTTTAAGGTTCCGGTCCGTTGGGCCACGTGTGTCCAAAATTNCAAAATTCTACCGACTTGTTCGGACGATTGTGTACGCACTGGCATGCGGAATCGGCTTATATCTTACGTCTAACCCCAGACCGAATTCATTTGTTCTCCTGCCCTCCCGTACGCTGTGGTCTTTGCGAGGCCACAACTACAAGAAACCGGGTATTGCGTGCTTCCTTGCTCCGCGCTCACCATCAGGAGTGTAAACATTTACTAAAGAGAAAATCATGTGCGTATCGATCATACACGGATTATTATTGTTATTATAAAATTTTTTCCCTAGCTTGTTGTTCCAATTTGTGATTAACCCGAAGACGAACAATACTGAGGTACATTAATATCGCAGAGAAACGGGAACTCATGAGTTCAGGGTTCAAGCTGTCCCCGGTTGTTCGGATTGTGCTGTGCCACCTTATTCTCTGGTTCGGCCCGGGAGGCCGAGGAATACAGGCGGCCAAAGAGATCCAAGTTCAACTTCAGATGCGTGAAGAAACGCCCCCGTTCACTCGAATCGGATCGATCGCACCCAGTTTACCGATGGATCTGGGGCAAAAATTACACTTCCTCACAGACAGCAGTTTTTTCTCTGTTACTCCGAACACCGGTGAGGTTCGTGTGGCTCGCCTGGTGGATCGGGAACGACTCTGTCCGGAATATAAACTGTGTTGCGGGATGATCACGTGTGAATTAGACGCTCGGATATTTGTGACCAATAAAGCCACTGGGGAATTTGCGGCTACGGTCAATTTAAAAGTAGACATACAGGATCAGAACGACAATCGACCGGTGTTCCCCACGCCGACCCAAATTGTCCGAGTGTCTGAAGCCAGTCTCCCGGGCACGCATATCAGTCTGACACCGGCCACAGATGCCGATATCGAACCGGTCAATCAGATTCAACGATATACCCTGATCGAACCGACCGGGACGTTTGTTCTGGATTTGAACAGTCTACCGTCTGTGCGATTACAACTCACACGACCCTTGGATCGGGAAACCACCGCCTCATACACAGCCACCTTAGAAGCATGTGATCCCGGAGCGTGTGCACGTCAAACAGTGGACATCGAGGTTCTTGATGAGAATGACAATCATCCGAAATTTGCCACCAATCGAATCACTAAGCAACTGATGGAAAATATTGATGTCGGACATGTGGTGTTGCATTTGAATGCGACAGATGCAGATTCTGGGGAACGAGGTCGAATATTGTACTCGTTTCACGGAACTGTCGATCCAGATCTGTTGGATACATTTGAATTGGTCCAAGAGACCGGAGAGATTCGACTCAAACGCCCTTTGGCTGCGAATATTCGAAGCAATTATCGATTTAAGGTGGTCGCTTGTGATGCCGTATTGCCCGCATGTACTGGTGACGAGAATTCTACGGCGGAAGTAGATTTAAATGTGAAAGATATGAACAATTTCGCCCCGTCAATTCATGCAGTTGCAGCCGGTGTGGCTCTGAGCTCCGCAGATGCGATGGGCAGTTCCGGGTCCTCATCAGGCGGCTACGATGGTGCATCCGGATCTGCCGGGGAAACACGTGATGGTTTGACTATTATGGAAAATACCCCGCCCAGTCAAGTTGCTGTNAGACGATGATTTGGGTGAGAACGCCCGGGTCACATGTATGCTCAATGATTCCGGTCCGGAATCGGTCGGTTTGGGAGCACCGAATCGGAATAATTTTATTCTCGCTCCCGGAGCTCCGGGAATCTATTCACTTCGCACGGCTCGCATGTTTGATTTCGAGGTGGAACCGACTGTGAGCACAAAAGTGGTTTGCCACGATTTTGGCCGACCGCAACAACTCACCTCGGCCCGAGTGATTGTTGTTCGGGTGTTGGATGTGAACGAATTTCAACCGGAATTCTCCCGTCGAGTGTACATCGGTCGTGTTCCGGAGAATGCCCCAGCCGGAATAGAAGTACTAACCACCACGGCGACAGATCGTGACCGAGGCGCCGCGTTACATTACTTTTTTGCTCCTCCACCCCCACAACAACAACAACAACAAATGGGATCTGGGACGAGTGGTTCCAGTTCTTCCGGGTGGTCCCGTTCCAACTCGGGCGCTGGTGATGAACCAGGTGGAGCGGATAAAATAGGTGTCAATAAATATTTTGTCATGGAACCGGAAACTGGAATTATTCGAACCAGTCAGGTGAGTACAACTGGCGGGACCTGATCGATGTGTATGTAGATGGTTGGGTGGCGGGTGGCGGGTGGCGGGGGATGTTCACTTTTTTCGTAACAAATATATGTGCACATGGTATATCTTAGCATCAAAAAACAAACAAACATGGGGCTGACTATATCGGTCACAAATGCAAAGTCCTGGAAGTTTCTTTCAACTTTCACCCACCACTCCTAAAATCACTGTTCTTGTGTTTGGTATTCAAATCTATTCAAAAATCTACTTCGCATGAGCTGATTTTACTTTGTTCGAACATTCACCTCGACGGCGTCATTTAAGTGACGAAATTAAATCCCAAATGAAATTACAGAATAAATTTCTTCTCACGCGAAAACCAAGGGCATCAAACCGAACTGAAAATTAGTCACATGAGGCGTGTGACTGTTTGTCCCCGGGAATCAGCTGATATCATACGCAGTTTTAGTTGTGCGTACGATTCTTATGGAATAGTGAAAAAGGATGACATTTTCATAAAATGATTGAGTCCTGTATTTTTTGTTTTTGTAACCAAATGTAACTTAAATGTGTATAATAATAATAATGCTAATGGCAATAATAGAAACGGCTAGTTATTAACCTGTTACACTGTGTACGTCATACTCTATCGACTATTAAAGTGCTGATACGGAAGGCAAGTAATTATTGCAACCCTGTGTGGCGGGATTTCACAGTGCGATTAGAATAGGATCGCAAATAAAATGTTTTAGACACTCCGTACAGCAAGCCAATTTATTGAATACACACAAAACGATTAAATAGAAAAAGTATGAAGTAGTACAATCCACAGAAATGTGCTCGCATCGAAATTCTAATCATTGGTTACTATAGAGTAGTAACTATACCCTCGTTGCCAACACCCACCACCTCACATTGTTTTGCCCGCATCTACCAGTCTGAAGAATCACTCCGTATGCAGAGTGATTGTTTTTTACGATATGTTAACTGCCGGTCAGTTCTATATATAAAAATAATCTATATATATAACCCATGAAATAGCGAAAAATGAATCCTGATGTGCCCGATCATTTTGCGTCAGCAAAACTCCCTCTCACACAAAAAACTGGCCGCTTAAACAACTTAAGACAAGGCGGTATTCCAAAATGTTTGCCCTTTTCTCAAACAATTTAGGTCTGCCTCCAGTCAGCTTCGAGGTTGCATGTTCGAATCCCACCATTGCTCGTCCTTTTCTGTGTACCGGACGGCGCTTTGATTCACTACAGCCCTCGTCATTGTGCTACACTGATCACTGGGTACTACTACAAAATCCTCGCTAAATTCCTCATTTTGTGTGTTGTCATCCGGTGAGGTGAGGCTGGCTGCGCTGTTTCAGCTAGCGCGGAACTTTTCATCTCTCTTACAAGTGTTCTGGTCGTGTCTGGAGTGAAATGTGTGGATGGAACAAAATTTGCCCTTCCTTATCAAAGCCTACACCAGCAATTCGTTACTCGTGCAAAACGAATGACTTCATTGGTTAGTGCCATTCTTTTGCTCGTTGATACGCGGAAATATAATTAACGTCCAGGGGCATTCAGACTACTGGAACTTGAACTGATTTTGCCCGTAAAGTAGAATGACGTACCGCAAAACTCAGAGTTCAGGGTTCAAACTTGAAACTGTGTCTCGGTTCATGCCGGTTAGTGACTTGGTTTGTTCCGGTGCCGTAGGAAGTGTGCTGAAAGGACAGACACTGGTAGACTAGTATGGTTGTTTGGGATTGATTAACTTGTTCAACTCCCGTCGGTTCCATGTTAAGCGAGACCGAGGCGCGAGATAGCCCCTAATTAGGACGCATGCCCGGTTAGATAAGCATGATGATGATGATGATTGATGATTTCAGTTTCAGCTCGCCATTCACAACAGATTCATTATCCCAGGCAGTTGCTAATTGGTACAGACTGTTCGCTCGTTGTTTGTATGTTCAAACCCCACGATCGTCACCCGAACTTTCATTCATTCCTTTTCCGTAGTAGTCTGGAACTGGCTACGAACACAATTTCTCGATTATTGAGTATTGGGCGGTGGTGGCCCGATGGTAACGTCACCAAATTATCACCCCGGGGATGTGCGTTCGAATCCCACCACCACCGCCTGACTTTACCCGTTGTGTGCTGAATGGCAGCCCTTTGATTGGCCGCTTCTCCCCTTCCTGAAAATTGTACCATTGCATGTTCAATAAAAGGAAGTAAAATAAAAAAGATAACAGATAAACAAAGTACGATCATTCGTTGTTTTTATATGAAGCGAATCGTATATTTTTTCGTATGATTTAGAGCCATGGTGCATTACTTTCGATCGATATAAATGTCTGGAAAAGTAATGCTGTACGTAGTATTAATACCGTACCGTTTCGGGTGGGACTAACTCAACCAGATTTATTCCCGTGATTGCAAGGTTGACAACAAGTGAATGTAAATTATCCTCCCGAAAAATTGACTGATAATGATATCTCTTCTCCGGAG